TTTTTTTTTTTTTTTTTTTTTTTTTTTTTTTAATATTTTTAACAATAATGTTTTGGTATAGAATATAAGAAATTAAAACTTTTAAATCGTTAAGTTTAATTATGATCATTTAAAAATCATTAAAAGTTTGTATTTTTTTTTTGTTGTTACGTGACAAGAAGCTGAATGATTATGTAAGAGCAAATGCCTGCATAATAAAAATCATAAGTGATAAAAAGATAACTATTGAAATATTTAGTTATACCTACGCAGAGTTCCCATGATCAAAGTAATAGATGTCAATTTTCTCTGTTACTACTTCTTTTTTTTTTTTCTCTTCATGAGTTTTTACTTTCTCTAGTTCAGGAACAGTATCTTTTTTTTTATGTGGTATCCCTTCCATTATTTCACAGCACATAATGGGCTAAACGAAGTTCATTGTTAACTATGCATCAAGTATAATAATTGTTTGTACATCTTTTATATTTAATGTTCGTACTTAATAATACAAGGAAAAATAAAACAATATTATTTTATTAATGTGTATATAATATATATATTGCAGTCTACCTCCGTGTAATGAGGACATTTTTTTGGTGTTAATTTCACTTCGTATGTTTTATTTTTTCTTTCTATTTCTCTTTTTGGCCACTTCCATTTAAAAGGGCACCAAAATGGTCTTCGTACATCTGAAAGATCTTTAAAGTAAAATTATAATAAGTTATAAAAGTTATAAAAAGAAAATCAGTAATCTATTTGGATTTTCATAATTAAAATTATAGCAAACTAAAAATTTATAAAATTTTTAAATATGAAACAAAAACCAAAAAATAATAATAATAATAATAAAAATAATAATTTAATGATAGTGTAAATAATTTAAAATACTGAAATTTTTACCATTCTTGTACTTCACAGGTAAAGTATAAGCTCTGCTAGAAAATAAAAAAAATAGTCAATTAATAATTGTTACATAGAATGGAAGTATTTGTATTACATCTTACGAGCGTGACATTGACATAGCGTCTGCTCTATCAAATTTTTATCTTTCAGTAGATCATTATTGTATGATTCCACTACAGGATCGATTTCTTCCGAAGATATTCCATGTATAATTGAATGTATCTCTCGACATTTACAGTCTTTAACTTAATAAATATAATATTTATATCCAAATTATATATATTTAAATTATTATATACCTGATTTACCCACAATTAAATTGTTGAAAATTATTATTACATGAATCTTTTTGACAGACAGATTCATGTGAAGATTGTTTGATATTGGTATTAGTTTTGCAACTAGAATCTGTCTGCAAAGATGTTATATTTGAAGATTCTGTTTCATCATGCAAACAATCGTTTCCGGAAACCATGATAAACACATTGAACAGAAATTGAACAAAAATTGAAATTAAGATAACACGAATTAAAACAAAATTAAACTGTCAAGTGACAGTAACTAAACAATTACATTCATATGTTTATAATACCATAATTATATACTTTTGACTGTTAGCAGCGTTCAATATCTATAATAATTTGGTAAAATTGAATTCTTTAAAAAAAGAGATATATAAAGATTTTATTAATTAAATTAAAATATAAATAACAAAACAATAATAATTAGTAAATCAATTTTTTGTCTTTATTTGCTTACAATATATAGTAATTTTGATTAAATTTTTTAATTAGTTACCAAAAATTTTTGCACCTTCAATGCTTTAATTTTTATTTGTTCTTGAGATGTCGTTCGAAGTAAATGACTGTTATTTACATTGATTGAATTAGAAATAGAATTGTATAATTAGCCTAATATAATCCGATATAATAATTTAAAATTCGTCTATGCAATGTAACACTAGTGAAGAATTTTATAATTTTTTCAAATTCACAACAAGTCACAAAGAGACTTTTACAACTATATTTACTCGTTTTCCACAAAAAATATTACCTAGAATCAAATCTTCGTACAATTATACGTATGTTTTAAATCTTTCGTTCGTTATTTTAACTTATATTTTTCGAAGCAAACAGTTTATAATTTAAAACCTAAATATTTAAGAATATTAATTATAAAATTTTTTTTAGTTTTATATTTATCTATTTCTTATTTGTATGTTTTTCAAAATGTTATAATACAGTTTCAATATTTTTATTCGTTGATAATGCGTGTGTTTAGCTACACAATTCTCTTGTTTTTGACTTATTCATTTAAAAAATGAAAGAAACTATTTACTATACATAAATCGATTATGTCTCGTCATTCATACGAGGTAAACACATAATCTAAATACTAAATTATCATAATATCAATCGGACTAGAATGGAAATATGCGTAAATACTAAATGTGTACCACCACATTCGAGTAATTAGTTAATAGTTTGTTATGAAGTAATTACATTTAACTTACATTTGTATTTATAATATTTATACACATGTTTCTTGCAATAATTCTGATACAGAGTATTCATTCCGTCAATATCATCGCTCAATCGAATATATATTAAACCTATTATATGTATGTTTCAACGTTTTGTACAAACACTTCATAACGTTCTGTACAAGCAGTCAAAATTGAAAACTTGTTTTTAACAAATGATATTTGGACATATATATTAAATATCAATTTTGTTTTGTATATGTATGTATCAAAGGCATCGGAATGAAGTGTAAATTATTAAAATAAAAATAAGTTGAGTTATATACACGATGAAATTAAATGATCTATATATAAAATGTTGCGCAAATTAAAACAATCTGAGAACAATAAAATTACATAATTGATATTCTTCTATTATTATCAGAATGATATTGTTTAATCCAAATGAAATTAATAAAATTATGCCGTGACATTCATCTATGTTCAATTTGAAATTTATTGAAAATTATTTGACAAGTAAAATATATTTTAATTACTTTTGATCAATTCTCAGAATGTTTTTTTTTTTTTCTTTTAAATTTATATAAGATAATATAATATAATTAAACATTTAGGCACCTATTGAAAATGCAATGTTAAAAACATATGCACTTTTTTCAATTCGAGTACTTATACTTAATAGTTGATTGAATGGAATTATTGATAAAAATTTGTATAATAAGGATTTTTATTTTTAATTAAATTTTAATAAAAGTAAATTTTTTAATCCCATCTCTTTTAAGAATATTTATTTCTTTGTTTGAATTATACGCGCAACACAACTTTCAATACTTTTAATCTAATTTTAATCCAACATAATCTATTTTTAAATCGAATAGAATACAATGCAATTATTTATGCATGTTAATAATGTTAAAAACTCGAATTATAAGTAAGCATACATTTTTAATTACATACTAATGTTAAAAACAAAAAAGAAACGCACAATTACACACTCAAAATTATTTTTGGAATTTTTGGAATGTAAAATAATGTTCAACATTATTATTTATCGTCACATGTAATTATAAATATATGTCATAAAAAAATGTATCAAGCTTCTCTCTCTTTTCTTCTTTTTATGTTTGATATTTCTATATATAATTAATAAGATAAATTTTTGAAATTTTTATGATAAAGTATGACATCCATTCAAACAGATATAGTAAACAATTTTATATATGCTATGCTATATTGCTATCGTTCTTTACATAATGTAATAATAGATTAGATACAACAGGAAACTTTAATCAAATCTTATGAGAGCATAAATAAGTACGTGTGTAAATACGTACGTGTAAATATGTATACGTGTATAATATACCTGTAGTACAATTGGATATTTTTTGAACAATATAAGCATGGCACTTAAATCAGGTAAACTTATTTGTAAGTACGAAAAACGGATTAAATCGCTAACAGTAATATATAATATAACTTTACTTTATAATCATATTATATAATATTTGATTATTCTTTTTTTGAAAAAATGTTTCATAAATTTTTAAACATAAAAATATGCTATATTTTTATTAAGCAACATTTTTTCCAATTCCAATAATATGGTATTTAATATGGAAATTTTATAATATTAACAGAAACTGTAATGATATTGATTTATGATTTTTTTCACGATTTTTTATAAGGCTTAAAAATTACAAAGTACAAATAATTATAATAAATAATGTCGATAAAAATACATTATACAATGATTTCATAGAACTGACTGTCATGGCTGTTTTGTTAACATATATCGTTTTTTCAATACAATTAAAATTGTATTTATATGTAAATTAATTATAAATTGAATGATACTTATATTAGAATGTAAAATGTTTAATTTAAAAAAAGTTATTGAATATTAACATATTCATGTTTAATGATTACATGATCATGTATAGAAATATCTATACATGAAAAATATAAATATTTACAATGCAATGTAAAGTAAACTACTTCTTAATCAATTATATTAACATTTCATTTATATCAAGTAAATTGTAATAATATATAGAGAAAAAAAAGTCTTGGCTCATAATTTGTTGTAAAAATAGAGTCAAAGTACTTGTGCAATGTGTTTTTTTTGTTTCATATTCACAAACTAGAATACACAAATATAGGATATGCATACTTACGTCATAGAACAGTCTTTCATAGTAGATGAATGTTAAAATTTGTATTTCATTTAGTATAAGAAATTACTTATAATATGCAATTTAAATTCATATATGCAAAATCACTATTTTTTTAAAAGTCACTTCCAATTATGTAGTAACTCTTTGGTAATCCAAAAGTATGCTTCAAGCATAAGTGATATGACATACTATATTAGCTTCTGATGGCAAAATTCTTTTATCTTCTATGACAGTGATCCTTAAGAAAAATTCTAAATATATTGGAAGTTATCTTTTGTAGCAAGTAGAGGTAATTTTTCAATACTCTGTTTGTGATCAAAACTATGCAACCAGTCTGAACTGGGTTTTGCTTTTACACCGCAAAAGCTTAAATTGCAAAAATCAGCTGCATTTTGAAGAGCACCACGATGAAAAGGATTCCCTTGTTTAAAATGCGCGTAGCGTCCAGCATTCATACGCTCGTTTGTTGTCATTCCAAGTACCATGATCTAATGATAAATAATATAAAAATATATATTATTTTATGAAAAAAGATAATAATCTGATAAATTTGTAATGTAATTGATCATGTAGAAATAAAATAGAAAAAGTAAACAAACCTGATAACACTGACACGCAAGCAGCGTGCCAACCCAAAAGAAATGGAGACATGTATTTGCTGCAACCCACATTACCCAAGCATCACAGGTAGCTGCAGCAACTAAATAATTATCAGCGCTATGCCCATTTGTTAAATTTGTCCAACATTCAAATTGCCAATACTGTACACTAGCGGATAAAACAACAATACAAAGACCTAATAATGATGCTAAAAATCCCAGAAAATACTTGTGGTTATGCGCACCTAAGTTTAAAAAAAAAAAAAAATTAAAAATTATAAAAATACAAGTGTATTATTTAAAGATTAAATTATCTAAAATTAATGCTATCTCAAATTATACTGGTTATACATGTTATGGACTTAAATTATTTTATATGACTTACCAATGCAATTATTGATCCAAGGACAGTGATGATCAAAACGTGCTACGCATCGATCACATGTAGAACAATGTTTAGATCTCATAGGTCTTCTAACCAAGCAACTGCTGCAAAATGATTGTGGTTCAAAACCACCAGACTCTGCTAACTCTATAATCGTCTGAAAATAACAAAATTCCAGAATAATAAAATAATAATAAATTAATTTATAAATAATATTCTTATAATATAAAGACTATTACATTTAATTTATCTTCATGTGTAGCTGTAATTACACCTGGATCGCCTCTCCAGGATTGTAAGAAACATATCCAAAGTGGAACAGATCCACTAACTAATAGTAACCATAAATACCAAGCAGCATGTATACCTAACCAAAATATCCATGTCACGTATATCCACATCTATAACAGATGTGTAATAATAAAAAATACTGATTAGAAATCTGATTAGAATCTGCTATGCAAATTATATGTTAAATAAAAAATTATATGTTAAATAAAAATTATATTTTTTAATAAGAATAATAATCACTAATTAAAAAAAGAAAAAAATTAAAACTATTGTAATAAGAATTAATCCAAGAATTTCTATTATATTTCTTTGTATGTTATCTAAAATGTCATGATAAGACATTTATTGTCTATATCACTTGTGTAGAAGATGTTATCTGATGTTATCTGATATAGCTCAATCAGTTTTCAACACTTAAGATTTATAATATTATTTAACATTACGATTTTATGTAAGTGAATTATCTAATAATAATAATAATAATAGTTAATATCATATATTATTTTAAATATTCACCTTTGTAGCCAAATAAATTGACATTGGTATAATATGAAATAATCGTTCATCGAAGATAAAATGATTAGCTAAATATAATGCTATATGAAGAGTGACAAAGGCACCTAATTTTACTAGATAATGCAATCCACTTTGAAAAATCATTCCAATTACATAGAAAACTATAAATGGTGTACTGACCATACAATACCAGCGCATTCTCTGAAAGAAGAATTAAGATTTAAAAAATGAAATCGAATAAAAATAATTAAAGTAAATACCTTATCTCTACACCATGTTCTTGTTCTGCCCTGTTTTTCTCTGATTTCTTGACTAAGTTTATGTCCTAACCAGGCAGCACCAATATGACGACCTAACAATGTCATTGGTGTTTCATCTCTTATATTTGGTACATCCAAAGATGCTCCATGATGAACTAATGTTGATATTGCTGTACTATTTTCAGCTATAATAGCCCAATGCAAAGCAGTGTTACCATGTAAATTATCTGCGAGTGAATGAGATGCTCCTAAAGTCAGTAACAAACGTGTTGGATCTAAACTGTAAAAGAAAAAACTTCAAAGTAACCTATATAATATAATTATAAATAAAAATTCTTACAAATAAATATTTTGATTATTTTTTTACATTTACCTATTAACTTTATAGGCACTCCACATAAGGGGTGTCATTGCACTTCTATCTGGCATATTTGGATTTACTCCTTTAGCAACTAGATAAGCAACAATAGAAGTGTGACCAAATTGTGCAGCTAAATGAATACATGAGAATCCTTCTGAATCTCTAAGAGTTGGATCTGCTCCTGCTCTCATTAATATCACAACTGTAGATAAATGGCCCTGTCTAGAATATAATATAATAATAAGTTTTAATTATTTTATTTGTTAAAATATTTGTTATAAAATATTCTACTATAAACTAGAAATTTAAATTTAGAATTAACCTTGTAGCCCAATGTAGTGGTGTGGAAGCTAGCTCACCACCAATTGCATCAACGATAGCTCCCTTTGCAATTAAATATTTTACAATGTCTTTTCGATTATTTATTGCTGCCCAATGTAATAATGTTACAGTTTCTGAATCTGGTTGATTTACATCAGCACCAGCTTCTACTAATTCAGTCACACGATCCAAAGCTCCATACTAAAAAGAATAAATTATCCAGACAACAATATTTTTAAATAATGATAATATTTTTGAATTAACTGATTGTTTAAATGAATACCTGAGTTGCCCTAACAATGTCAAATGAGCTACAATCCTGTGCTGGAGGTCTAACAGGTTCCTGATGATGACTACTTGGATCATCAGGTTCTGCACTGCCTTCGCTTTGACAGGCAGTTTGCATTTTTAATGCATACATGTTGAATTTGTTAATATCAACTTCAAAATCACGTCATAGATACAATAAAATTTGTGTATCCAAAAATAATTTTAAAAAATTTTAAAATTTCTTTATATTATAAAATGTAACTGAAATAATAATATATTAATCTATTAAAATTTTTCTGAATTTTATTAATAATTCTTGTTAACAATTTTTACTTTATTATTTTAATAAAAGTTTTATGTAATTAAAATAATATTGATATTAAAACTTTAAATATTTCTAATTACTATATTAATTAATAATACATTTAATAATATTTATTATTAAAAAACAATTTTGCAGTACATTACTTTATATTGATATATTGATACTTTATATTGATATGATGTTATTAATATTTTTATAAACTGCGTTATAAATTAAAATTTTTAGAATCACATTTCAACTTGTAAAATTAAACCGAAAGTTATCCAATGAGAAGTTGGTGAGATTATTTCGCAACAAATGTCTACCATCCGGTAATTAATATTATTCAATTTGACAATAATCAATCTATCGTTTATATTCACTAAGTATATCGCGTTGTAAATATGATATGTACTATAGAGTACATCGAGCACACTGACAATCGATTTAGTATTCAAGTTAGGAACTAATAAACGTTGCAATGTATAATTCTCTCTCATTCTTGAAAAATTTTTGCAGAATATTATACTATGATAATCTTATTTTTTTCTTTTCATATATATATATATATATATATATATACATATTTACAGAACACAATTACTTTGAACGTTTCAAAGAGAGATTGATATAGCCGCTAAACATCAAGATATAAAACAATTTCGCGATAAGATTATATTATTGTACAATTCGTAAAATTATCTTCTAATCATAAATATATCAGTAAAAACTATTCAATGATATCATATCTTACCTCTCAAACAATGACAACGCTGATAATAGATTTGCATAGTATGCGGCATGCTACCCTTCAATACGTAGTAAGGGGTTAGATTTAAAGGACAAACAGTGAATGGGGGTGGGGCGCCGGTACATTGCATAGAATCCAGACAAGGGTTGACCTTTCTTTCCACTATAGAAAGAACACTCCGCTGCAATTTGTTTTTTTTACGATCCAAGTCAACACTATTCTTATTCTTTCTTATTTGTTACACAATTTCATCGCTGTTATTATTTTCCTTTTGATGAAATTCTTATTAAATAAGTACACGTCACGTATGCATCAATATACGATATTTTGCTCGCGTCACATGTACATTATGCTTTCTCAAGTTTCGCGAAGAGCTTCTTATTGACCAAACGGCTTCGTGAGCCGTCCGATCGGTATCCGATACTCATCGAACGAATGCAAGTTATCAACGAGTCATCTGGCGGAGAAAGTAAATATGGTTGAATTTTCGAAGATCGAACGCCCTCTCGATTTTTTTAATAAAAAGGAAAAAAGAAAAAGAAAAGGAAACTTTTTAATATTTTAATGTTTTAAATAAATTTTCAAAGTTTTTAGGATTTATTTATATATTTATATATTTATTTATAAAAAAGATAATAATATATTTATACAAAGAGAAAATTTTTCAACAAAATGATAGATTATTTGATTTGAATTTTGTTGATGTCATATCAAATTCAAAATTTTGATTAATTAATAAAAGTTTTAAAATTAAGAGAAAATAAAAAATATAAATTATGAATAATTGAATTATTCTAAATTTTTTACGTCTTAAATAATATATATAATTTATTTATAATATGAATCGTTTTTTTTTATTATAAATTTAAATATTATTTGTATTCAAATATAATACTTTATTGTCCATATAAAATAAGTCAGTTAAATAAATATTTCTAATTTAATTTCTGAAATTAAATATTTATAACTTATAATTTTATATATCATAAATTTGCATATTATCTAAAATATTAAGTTTTAATTGGTTAAATTCAAACCAATTATCAATTGACTAAATTCTTTGTTATACCAATTGAGTGTTAGTATTGCGAATCTAGTAAAATTAAAGTTTATGGAAATACGCAACACGCGAAATTTTTGTCTTTCTATACTCTATTTTCCCGCCGATTTTCTTACTATGTTACAGTGATGTATTTTCTACGTATATTTCTGATAATAGACTTTTAAATAGTAAAATTTTTATATCTGTATATAATATTTTAATTTTGGAATTTGTACATATTTAATATATGCTTTTGATTGCTTTGTTATTATCTATATTCATGTAATAAGTTATTGTTAGGTTATAGTAATGTGTCATTGACAGATTTGTCGATCTTGTCAATTGATGTAATGTTGTAAGAAAAGTTTTATATTTACACGTATTTAGGTAAGATAGAGAATATATAATTTTATTCATTTATTTTTTATCTTTGATTGAATATTGAATATTTTTTTATTTTATTCATGTTTCTTTTTTATAGAAATCATTGACATGAAAATGATGGACAATGATGGACAAGATGATTGTATTGAGGCAATTACTCCTATTAAGAAAAAAAAAATGAAACAAGGTATTTAATTTATAATATCTGTAATTATTATATAATTATAATAAAATAATTTTAATAAATTAAAATATTAATGTATATACATATATATGTAATTCTTTATAATTTTTATAATAATTGATGTTTAATTTTATATGTAATATCTTAATATGTAATTTGAAATTTTATTTCAGCACAATTGCCATTTCAAATGCAAAATCAGATACAGTCATCGAATGTTGTTCAAAGTAAGAAAAGGAAATTAACATCACCTTCGATCGAAAATAATTCTCCGAAAACAGTGAAAATTTTTAAGAAAAGTTTGAGTATAGATATTGCAGGTAGTAAATCAAATAATACAGATATTGATACAGAAAATGAAAATGATATAGAAGAGATAGAAGTTGAAAATTTGAAAGAAAATTCAACATCTAATAAATTAAAAACTGAAAATAAATGTGAAACTCCAAAACAGAGTGGACAAAAAACATTAGAAAAATTAAAGTCAAGTCCTTTAACAAAGTTCCTTCAAAAGACTGATAAACAAAAAAATAATTCAAAGGAAGAGTCTCAAATTTCTTTGCAAGAAGGAAAAGATGACTTATTTGAAAAGACTTCTGAAAAAAAATATATAAGTAACATAAGCGTATCAGAGACAAGAAATAATTTAACTAATAAAATAGAAGACTCACCCTTTACTGTAAATAATTCTCCGAATCAGACTGATTCTGATATTGCTATTTTATCGTCCGATGAAGATAAAGATGAACAAACAAAATCAATTACTAATACAATAAAAGATGTAACTAGTATCTCAAAAAATATTAAGACTCCTAAAATGGATAAAATAAAGCAAAAAAAATTAACACCTAAACAAGAAGAAAAGAAATTATTAATTGCTAAAAGGAAAGAAGAAAGGCAAAAATCGAAAATGGTATTGCAACATTTATAATATATTACTATAATGTATTATAATGTTAAATATTTTATTTTGTTGATTTAATTCTCAACGAATCATTTCATTTATTTATTAGGAAAAAGAAAAGAAATTGGAGGAAGAACGAGAAAATCGAAGAAAAGAAAAAGAAGAGAAACGTAAAGAAAAAGAGGAAAGAGAAAAAGCTGAAAAAGAGCAGAAGATGATGGAGAAAAAAATGAAAGAACAAAAAAAACAAATGGAAATCGAGTATGAACATTTATAATTCTAACAATTATAATTTTAAAATAAAAATTATAAATTTTTTTTCAGTAATATTTATTTTGTTACAGACAAAAGCAGAAGGAAAGACAAGCAAAAGAGGAAGAACGTAGAAAGAGAGAAGAAGCTAAGGAAGAGGAAAAAAGAAAAAAAGAAGAAGAAAAGTTAGAAGCAGAACGTAAGAAACAAAAAGCAGCTACAACTTTTGCCAGTTTTTTCGTCGCTAAGAAACAAGAGAAATGCATTGAAGATGAAAATACAACCGAAATAAAAAATTTCATGCCTTTTGAAATTAAGGCGGACATGAAAATAGCTCCAGTTTGTAGGAGAATCCTAGAAGAACAGGAGAAATTATTATTAGATGAAAAAACAAATAAAGGAAATACGGAAATATCAGATTTATATCTTAATGAAATTAAAGATAAAAAAATTGTTCCCCGCAAATCATTTAAAACTTGGCCACTTGAAGCAAAAGATGATATAATTTTATTAGGTAAGCATTATTTTTTTTTTTTGACAATAATTAATCTGTTTACAATAAATTACTAATATTTTTTATTATTTGTAGACGAAGAAAACGAAGGTAGTTCGAACATCGTAAATCAAGATATCGTTGTAGAGAAACAACGACCTAAATTATTACAATTTTCTGAAAATTTGCGTCCACCTTATTGGGGTACATGGAGGAAACGCAGCAAAAATATTAATCCTCGAAGACCGTTTTCAAAAGATATGGTAAGTTTGAAATTAAGAGATTATATATTTATAAAATGATCCCATTAAATATAAGTTTATTTATTCTTAGTTTATGTTACTAAGTCACATTAGTCACAATAATCATAATCACAGTAGTTAGTGATAATGATAAGTTAAAATGCGATTGATGATTAAATATCACAAAAGTTGCAAAAAAAATGATAGTTTTTCTCATTAGCTATATAGAGAGAGCTGATAAACATATTTCTAATACAGTAATATTATTTATATTATATTATTATGCATCATTATAGATTCAATTTTAAAAAATACTTTAATGTGTAAAATAGTAGAATATTTTCAAATCTTTTTTTTATTAAAAAGAATTTATACGTACCAACTGATTTCTTCTACAATTTTATTAGGATTATATAGGGGTATATTCAATAATTGACAAACAATTTATTGTATTTTTAACAATATTTATTGTCATTTTATAAAGTTTGTCACCTTATTCAGTTCAACATTTTAGAAAAAAGATTACACAAGTAATCTTATTCGATCTCTTTTATCGATATTAATATTATCATTATATTAATTAGGTAATTGTCTCGTCTTCAAATCAATTATTAAAAAAATATATTTACGTGTAAAATTTCTACATGGAAATTATTTTCCATCGATCGTTCAACGCGTCAAGAACGAAGTACAATTTCTCTACGCGATTAAATATCATCGTAAGAAAATAACGAGGTTGCTGATTCGGAAAATCTGGAAGGAAAGTTTTCTTCTGTCCCTTCCCATATCGTTTCGAAATCATCCTCATCGATTACGTTACACGAGAAAAAAATTGACTAAATCTCCGCTGGTAGAATTGAATTCATCTTTCCTCCACGCAGACCTCTACCTCCGTGAAATAGCGAATACGCGTTTTTCCTATGCACTTTGCGATGTTTGGCCAGATGATCACTGCGCGCGAACCTTTTCGAGCACATCTCGCAGGGATAAGGTTTCACGCCCGAGTGGGATCGTCGATGCCTTGCCAATTCGTCGGATCGACTGAAGCGCCATCCGCATCCGGACCACGTGCACGCGAACGGTTTCTCGCCAGTGTGTCGACGTAAATGAGCCTTGAGGTGGGACGCTTTTGCGTAAACCTGCATTTCGTTAAATTGGATCAACGAAATTGAATGATTTCTGAGAAAGTCAGAATTCTCGTCGCTCAACAACATTTTAAACAATATAAATACCTTCACGCATCCTTGATAAGTACAAGGAAAGCATCGATCTTCCGCCGCGCTCGCCAAACTGCGATTAGTGTAATCGTGCGTCGCCAATGCCGCTGCAGCCGCAGACGAGATATCTCCTTCCACTCGATTGTTGTTGTAATCTTGAAACATTCATCGAACGAATCAGGTAAAACGAGCTCTCCTCTTAAATTTTTTTCTCGAAAAAATTTTGATTATCGAAAATTACCAATTACCTCTCGTCTCCAACGTGTCGTCGAGCGCCCTCAGATCGATTCCGAGCACCCATAACGGCTCCTCTCCTTGTTGAAACGTTTGTTGTTGTGGGCCGGGCAAAGGCAAGTGTAGAAAACCTTCGCAACCCGCTGTGCACAACGGCGTCCTCTCCGGAAGACCCGAGTTCCAACCTTTGTCCAAACACCATTCCAATTCCGAATCCAACTCGCTCAGCTCGCTCAGACATCCGTTGCCTGATACGAAAGAGGAAACGAATTATACACTCAAAATTCATCCATCCATCCATCCATTCCGTTCCGTCCCGTTCCGTTCCGTTTCGAGAAATTTCCTCTTTACCTGACAAGGATGTCGAATTGTTGTCGGACCACTCGTTCCAAGACGATTGCCCCTTGGTCGGCCAACTGAGATCCGTGTAACAACCGATCGGGTTCCCGATGCTGGCCGCGTGGGGATCGCCGGTCTCCGAGTCGTCGCTGTGTGGCGTCGTTCTGCAAGAGGACGATCCCTCGTACTCGAGCGCGTACGTGGCCGGATTGGAGGAGAGCAATTGCCTCTCGACGCCCGTGTCCATGGACAGGCCCAACGCGGAGAACAGCAATTCGTCCGTCATCTGTCGATCGAGAACGAAAGGGAAATACGAAACGGTGAAAAATGTGAAACGAAAAGGGGGGGGGGAGGGGACGAGAAGAGAGAATGGAGGAGACGGATTGTTGAAAGGATTGGCGGTACGGGCGATAATTAGGAGAGAAAAATTTGCCGATTCGCGAGCAATTTAATTCGAGAACTGTTTATTGTTGCGGAGGAATCACTTGTCTCGGATTAATCGTGCCGGTTTCTTGGAGATACCGACAATAACTCATGCGGCGCGAACGCTCTATATCTGTTGATTAACATTAAGTTCTATTTCGAGTTATCGGCAGTGAAAATAAAGAGGAAAACGTGGATGAGCGCGATTATATTGCTTTGTGTTATTTTTTTTTTTTTTTTTTGTTATTTATTTTCTTTCTTGGGATCGTTATGGTAATAGAGATGTTGCTCCTTCTTCGGTTGGATCTCGCGTTCAAGTTAAATTCGTCTCGTCTTTTAAACGATTCGATTAATTATTAGATATTTACAAAAAGTGTTCGATTAGAATTAGTGGATGCGTGAAAATTAGATCAGATACCGATCAAAGTTTCAATTCTAGGAGCGCTAATAATTCGAACGTTAATTCGAATTTACATCTCGTATGTAATACGATAATTCTTTTATTTTAAATAATTCGTTGAGTTTAACAATTTATTCCGAATATCTCCAACTTTGTCTTGATAGAGAGTAAACGATCGAAAGATTAAAAGAAGAAAAATCGAGGAAAGAAAATTATTCGTTTCTATAATAACAAGTATTAACTTTTACTCACATCGAAAATCGCAGCTTCTTCTATCATCTCGCCAATTTTATTCTATGTCGTAATCTATTATCCCAACCAATTATCCTATATATATTTAATAAAACAACGAACGTTTTTTATTCTTTTTACGTCCCTTACTTCTTTTATTATTCGATTTACATGCAATTATTCCAGCATTAATCACTCTCTTGATTTCCTCTCGCGCACTATCACTTCCGATTGCCACTTGTGTTACAAGGTTACCGTACTAACAACTACGATGAACATAGATGTTACCACGCTTTCCCTCTCCTCCAAATTTCTAATAATTTCTCCTCCTTGAATATTCTTCAATAATCTTCACTCTTCTATACACAAAAAAAAAAAAAAAAAATCTTCAGAACAATATCAATCTCGTCTTCGAGCAAGAAGAGAATCTCCCTTCGTATCCATCGAATTCTTCTCCTCGATCGATCGATCGATCCCTCCTCAATCGGTACCGAAAATTCTTCAAAATTTTCCAAAATTTTTTCCTCCCCTCCCAACTGTTATCATCATTATTATTATTATTATTATTATTATTATTATTATTATAACAAAAGCGCTCGACGTCAAGGAAAGAGGCAACGAAACGAGATATCCGGCAGATCGTAGAGGATCGGGCGAGAATCGAAAGGGGTTTAAGACTCACCCTCTCGTTCGCGGCCGCGGTCTCGAACTGGCCTATTCCCTCGATCCCGAGGCGAGGCGAGAAGGAGAGTGTGGCCATCCCGTGCGTGTGTGGCTTGTCGTCACACGAGATAATCGAAGGCTGTGCCACCCGGTCCCGTCGCCGTCGCTCCTCCCAAGGGAGCCAGCCACGGGTCCCAGAACACCGGCAGACGCGCCAAACGAGACGGCCACGACGGCCAAATTGGCCGGCCACGCGCGTTGTCCGCGGTTGTTATTTACGACACCAGCCACCCCCGATCGTAATCGGCCGACACCAGCCACTCGGTCCGCCTCGAAAGATCGGAGGCCCGGTCGAGGGTAAAACCCGCGAGATCCGCGAGGGAAAGAGAAACACGGGAAACGCGGCCACGTGGCCGGCCGAGGCTGGCCGCGCCAAAGCGACGAAGAGATGGTTGTTGCGACGCTGGGGCCACCGCTGGCTTCCCTCCTCGTTTTCTTTAAGCTTTTTTTTTTTTTTTTTGTTTGACTTACGTGTGGAATTGGTTGGAAAATAATTCTATATTTGGAAAGGGTTGGAATTGCACCGATTCTATGCGAACTTTTACGAAACTTTTGCAAAGTTTTGAAGCTGTGGAAATTTTTTTTCTTTCTTTTTTTGTTTTTGTTTTCTTTTCTTTTAATTTTTTGAGCATATGAGCGATGACGATGATGGTTCTTCTTTTAGGAATCCTTTTTGATTTATGATTTTGATAAGGATTTGAATTCGAAGGAAGTTGAAATTTTAGAAATTCTCTTTCTTTCTTCTTCATTTTTTTTTTTAATTTTTTTTAAATTTTTGAGCATGTGAACAATGACAACACGATGATGGTTCTTCTTTTAGGAATCCTTTTGATTTGCGATTTTGATGAGGATTTGAATTCGAAGGAACTTGAAATTTTGGAAATGTTCTTTTTTTCTTTTCGTTTTTTTTTTTTTTTAACTTTTAAACATATGAGCGATGATGATTCCTTTAATTATTTTAGGCTTCCTTTCTCATACAATGCGGCGCGGAAATTTAAGAATCCTTTTGATTTTCGATTTTGATAAGGATTTGAATTCGAAGGAACTTTTGGAAATTTTTTTTTCTTTTTCTTCGTTTTTTTTTTTTAAATTTTTGAGCACGTGAACGATGACGACACGATGATGGTTCTTTTCTTTTAGGAATCTTTTTGATTTGCGATTTTGACGAGGATTTGAATTCGAAGGAACTTGAAATTCTGGAAATTTTCTTTTTTTCTCTTTATTTTTTTTTTTTTTAATTTTTGAATATGTAAGCAATAACGACACGATAATGGTTCTTTTAGGAATGTTTTTGATTTGTAATTTTGATAAGAAATTGAATTTAAAGGAACTTGAAATTCTGGAAATTTTCTTTCTTTCTTTTCATTTCTTTTTTTTTTTTTAATTTCTGCGATGATGACACGATGATGATTTCCGATTTTGGTAAGGATTTTGAAGAAGTCTAGAAAAATTGAAATTCTGGAAATTTTTCTCTTCCTTTGTGAGGAGTGAGGACGATGATTCTTCGATTTTTACGTGAAAAAATTGGTATGAAAATTTTATTGTAACGTTTATGAATCATTTATGCGATTTTTAATATACTTTTTAATAAGAATTAAGTTAAAAATAGTTAAAAATTTTAGGAACGAAATTAAAACGCTGGAAATCCGTTCATATTTAGTTTAGTCATTATTAATCAGTTTTGATACGTTTTTTGTCCGATGAGGATCAATACAGTTACTGTTTCATTTATTCTGACTACATTGTTATATCGAAGGTTTATCATTTTTATATATCAATCGAAGACCGAGATCTTTAGAGAAGGATATTCGTTAGCCGTTTTTTGCCCGTCTGCCCGTTAATCTGGGATGATGGCAATGAAATGGCCGTGTAGTAGCGTGTTTACAGCCGTGTTTGAAACGATGATTCACTTTGCATTTTCATTTAATCATATTCGCGTGATTTCTTAACAACTTTATTCGTGTTTATTTTTTATTTTTTCCTTTTAAAAGCAAAACTTTAATCTTAAACTTTAAATTCCATCCCCCTAAAATATTTTATCACAATTCATCGTTGCATTAATAGAAAAAAAAAAAAAAAAAAAGCTTACGAACAAGAAATTTACCCTTTTCTTTTAATCTTAATTAATTCTTAATTAATTCTTATTAATTCTTATAAATGCATCGAGTTGCACACGTTTACTTTATTCAATAACGATTGTTCACTTACGAAGGAAAAAGATATTACGTAAAATTATCGTTCGAAAAGTGAAAAGAGATATTTATCTCGATCGATCGAGAAAGAGAGAGAGAGAGAGAGAGAGAGAAAATAAATAAAAGAAGAGCGAGGAGATATAATATATTTTCCGAACGAATGTATCAATGAGGCAACGTTATATTATAATTGCCGTGACTTTGACCTAGAGCGAAGAAAAAAGAAGAGGGAATCCGATGATAAATTAAACGGCACCGAAGTGGCGCCAACATATGAATCGCGTACTACGTTTTATCCGTGTCGAGGTTGACCTTAGATACAATCCTCCGTATTTTTCATATTATTATTCAATTCAAATGTCAAGTGTTTAAATTCAATGACCAAGGGAAGTGCAACAAGTCCTCCGACCTTGATAATCTTTTCTCCTGTCGCGAAATTTATAATATTCGATATTTTCTGCCAATTAATATTGTTTATAACCTTACAACCGTGATTATAAATGAAAAGAGACAGAGAGAGAGAGAGAGAGAGAGAGATCATCGAAATATCGTACGAACGATCGAATATTGGATAATGTTTCCTCGCGATGTATGGTACTGGTGGTAATGGAGAGATATCGTTATGAAAAACAGACGACCGGTCGTCGACATCGATATATCGATTCTCTTTTATCCGCTTTATTAAAAAAAATAATTAAAAAAAATATATAATTTAAATTTTAAAAGATTAAAATATATATATATATATATATATATATATAATGCGTGTCTTCGTTAGTTACGTTTTTGGAAACGAAATCTGGAAGTCCACTTTAGAGGAGGGGGAGGGGGGATTTCTTATCTGTGACTCGTCAAAGGGAAAAGTAAGAGGAAACGACGAGTTGAAATTTTTTTTTTTAATCTTTTTTGATTCCTTTGTTCCTCGAAGGATAAACGAACGAATTTTTATCCGGAAAAAAAAATATGGTGATATTTTGAATTTGGGATTCGGTGATAGTTGATCGAGATCGTTGAATTCATATTTTTTGCGGAAATTTTATACGATTGTTATTTTTTCCTTTTTGAAGTGAAATGAAAAAAAAAAAAGAAAAAAAATAATCGTACAACTATTTATCATCATTTCATTCAATAATTCCGACCTTGGTCATTTCCAATCGCCTCCACGTCCTCTCTTTTTCCTCCCTCCGTATCTTAAGATGACATCCGCTGACCGTATCTCCGCAGAACATTTATACATCTCCCTATTTTGTGTAGTTAACGTATCTTTTCCCCTATTAATTATTAATTGACGTATCCTCTTCCTGCAAATACATAATAGTGAAAAAATTTTCCATTCGTTCCAGCCTCTTCTTACAACAATTAATAAGAAATTAATATTGATTATTTATTATTATTATAAATTAAGAATTAATAATTATTTATTCGAAACTTTAAATTTTAAAATTGATGGATGGAAAAATGTTCAAAAAAAATGAGATAAAAAATATTAATTCTGAAATAGAATTATTCTGAATTTTAAAAAAAACTAATAACATAATTTGTATGTAATCCTTGAAATGTTCCTTCACGAATAATATCTCGAAATCATAATATCGAGATTAATGAAGAATTAATTAAATTTAGAATAAAAAATAGAGAATTTGATCTATAAATTCAGATTGCAGTTCTAGTTAATTTATTCAATAATCTAAATGAAAGAATAATTGGTCATGGATTAAATGTAACTATATGAAATGGAAAATTTTTTTTCATTAAAGTATTAATTTGATTCAGAAAAGTAATGAATATAATAAAATTGAAAATACATAACTTATATTCAAAATGTTTATTTTTACTCTTTAGATACGTAGATATGTCTCTTGATTTTTCGAATACTTCTATAACTCCATCTGAAATTTTTCTCTCGTTTGAAAAAAAAGTTTCGATTTTTGTACAAGTTATTTTTTATTTACGACAAAAAAATTTCAATGAACGAGAATTCATTTTAAATTTCGAAGGTCATTTAAACCTAATCCATCCTCGTTTATTAATTAAAAAATTCAAACTTAATCTTCACATAGTGAAGAGAATTAATACGTAATAGGAGAAAATCGATCATCGATTATTTCTACATTGTTCGTATTTTGCATTAAAACAAGAGATATCGATTTATCTAATCGAGAATTCTCTCTCTCTCTCTTTCGAGAAACGTCATCATATTTAATCGAAATATGAAAGATCTATCCTCGAGATTTATTTATTAATTGCGTTTGCAATAAAAAATCCTTCATTCGATTCGAATTCGAGGATCATCGTTCGACTCTCGACCCGATTTTTTATTCTCGAAATTTGATTTTTTTTTTTTTTGTTCAATTTTCATCGAGTCGAATATTTTTGATATCAATTCTCGACTCGAGATTTTGCTCCTTTCCTTCTTCTAGAGACGATGATAAAAAGAAACTTAATTTTTGAAGATAAAAATTTGCAAAAATTTTATCATCCACTTTTTTTTTTAACACTCTCTCAATCGATCTCAGAGCCGTGATAAATAATTTCTCGACACCCTGCACGTATCCTCGATTCGCATCCCTTTACGTAGATTTTCGCGTAGATTTAAATTGACTTTCGATTGAAATTATTTTTCTTTCTCTTTTAGATTTTTCGTCTTTTATTTTATTTCTATAAGCGTGAAGTGAAATTTGGTGAACAAAATCGTGCGACTGCGTGGAGGAAAAGTCATCTGTTTAATTTGTCGAAGTGTCCGTGATCTAATTTTAAACGCGAGATATAATATATCAACGTCATTGCAGCGAGAAACGTTCGAAATCACGTGAATAGAAATTAATATCGTCTCTATGGAAAGAGAGAGAAAAAAAAATTATCAATCTCATTTGTCGAAACATATCCAATCGTCATCTATTAATTCCAAAAAGAAACAGCGTCGATTTTACCATTTTTTATAATTTATAAAATATAATTTATAATTCGTATAAAAACTTTTAAAGAATTTTTTATCCTCTCCTTTGAACAAATTTCTAATTCAATCCTCATCGTTATTTGTCATATTCTAAATAATTTATATTCTATTAAATAAATAAATAAATAATAAATTATATTCTTTCTAAATAATTTATATTTACCAAACTGAATAAAAAAATTATTGAAATAAAAAATTGATTGGCGAGTAAAGATTGTCATTCTTCATAGAAATTAATTAAATCACATGGATTAATCGATATCGCGTTATTAAATGACAAATCGATGTAACGACTAAATAAAATTAAAAGCATTGGCCAAGTATAAAGATTGGCGATGAAAAAGGGTGGAAGGGCTCGTAACACAGCCGAATATTTCGGATATAAATCAATTCGACGTGCAGGGATTTAATCTCCGGTGTGCAACCGCGGGATGCACCAGCTATAATCTTAATGGGGCATAAAACAGCCATTACAGATGGCCCGATGGGTGACAACACGCCGTAAATAACGTGACCGTGATAGAGCTTTTGCCAGGCACGTTTGCTCCTCAACTTCGAACCGATGACTGCATTTTGTCCTGAAACTGTCTCCCCCTCCATATGACACCATCGATTTCCAGATGGAGGACGAATTTACCCGAACGTATTCTCTCTATTCTACTTAGCTTTATTAATAATTTTCTCTTAAAATCTCCATAAATAGAATTTTCCCTATTATTATCACGTTGAAAAAAGAATTTTGTAATTGACTTTGGAAATTGTTGAGAATGATCGTGAACTTTTTTTTTTTTTTTTCTTTTATCGAGAATTGACGATTAAATAATAATATTTCCAATATTATTATACATCGAATCCAAAGGATTTAATAAGAGAGTAAATTTACTATTCATTTCTATGCAATTCTTAACTCGTATTTGATCCCCTGGATAACATCAAATTTTCCAAGTAAACGGCGCTCGTTTCTCATTCGTTACTCGGAGATAAAACGCTTGTAAAATGCCTTCGACGATTCGATAAAGAGGAACGCCTTTTCTCCCGACGCCAGTCCTCCTTTGCGGTGTCGAACGATCTCGCGCGTGAAGCGTGAAAGCTGACAGAGACGTGTGCGGAGGTAGCGTAATTTTTCGAGATATGGTTTTACGGTTTATCTAAATGATCGAAACCACTCGAACAAACACGATCATAAAAAAGTAATCATTGACGTCGGTGGCATCATTTCCATTATTTTGTTACTTTAAAATTCGCAAAATCATTTCATTATTTTGTTACTTTAAAATTTGCAAAGAATCATTTCCATTATTTTGTTACTTTAAAATTCGCAAAGAATCATTTAAGACGAAAGAAAATAATTCGTGATGAATGATCTTTCATCGAAATGGCTACTTACCTTCAATCGAGGATCGAGGTGAAAATTAAATTACGAAAAGGGTTTCGATTCGCCGATTGAATTAATATCCGAAGAACTCGGAAGACACTCACCTCTGCTGCGTTGCCGGAAACTGGTCAACGGGATAGTCGTCCTTCCCTCCCTTCCTCCCTTCCTCCTTTTCGCCGGTTTTTCGCCTCGAAGCCACCGATCATTCGCGATATTATATTTCCTCCCGTTAATAAATTAATGTCAAAGGGAAGGGAATCCCGCGATCGATGCCCGGGCAGCTATCAAATCGACGTTGATTTATCGACCGAGCACGAACAAATTTCTATTCCCCTCGAATTCTTTCTCATTCAGAGTAGTTTTTTTCTCGTTTTCTCTTCGAATTTGAACTTTTTCATTTCTTACTTTCTCCGTTGTTGTTTTGGAGATATGAAAAATTTTCTTTTTTCTTTGGAATATAATTTAGGATTAGAATACTGTTTTCTTTTTTTCCTTTCTTTCTCTCTCTCTTTTTTAAATAAAACGATGAAAAATAGCTACTGATACAAGCTACCAAGTTTAGTCACGAGTTTGGTTAATCGACGAATTAATTATTCGTCGATCGTTTCAAGTTTAATTTTCTAATTATTTTTTACAAAAAAAAACAACTTCCTCTTCGAGAAACGATTCTCGCCGATTTTTTATTTTTTTTTTTTTATTAATTACGCGATTACAGAGCCGCGGGAGATTGCGGTTTGCCGAGCTGCACAAAAGTTTCTTTCTGGAAAGAGATGAAATTCGAAATATCATTCCTATGAGTCACTTCCTCCCATCATGGATCTTCCAGTTGTTCTCCAGAGTTACTCGCTTTTTCACACATATCGTAAATCAGAACTTTATATTAAAATTCCATCCTCGGAAAATATAATTGCTTCTTTGAAATTCTTCAAGATTTTTCGAAATCCTTCTTTCTTTCTTTTTCTTTTATCTTTATCGAAAATCCAACAAAATTTAAGTTTAAAGAAATCTCGTAACTTTTGTACATTCCTTATTCAAATCCTCTTAAAAAATCTCATTTTTTCGTTCGATGAACATTTGTTTTTTTTTTTTTAAAAATCTTTCATATTTCCTGTAAAATGTTCACGTTTTGACGAAAGATAGATAAAATTCACATTTTTTTTTTTTTTTTTTTCAATCACAAAACTTGGAAATCTTTCTTCGAAAAAACTTTCGAATTTTCTTCTTCCCTTTTTTCTTTCTTTTCTCTTCGCAAAAATCAAAAACTCACGAATTTCACGTTTCTCGAACGGAACCTCTCTGAGGTGAAGAAGAGGAGGAACCTTCTCTATTTTATTCCTATATCCGTTGACGACACTTTGAGATTATCTTTTCAATTAGATCTCCTTCCAATTTTCCCCCTTTATTTCATCGTTATGCGGAAACGAGGAGCAATTTCGCGGCAACGCATCCGCATCTCGAGAACACCTCGTTGGCTCGTTGGCGAGTATCTCTCGGCGACTAAGAGAAAATCGGCGAGAAGAGCAGCACGTGCGCCGACGATATCGCCCGTCAAGGAAGTCGCGCTGATACCCACGTCCTGCTTAATCATCTCTAGACCTCAGTAAAATATTCATTATCGTAATTGAAATATTTACCTAAAACACACTGTTGGATACCTTTTCCAACGATTTCTAATTCTAATGAAACACGATTAATTTGTCGACGATCCGTTTAATTTGTTAATTTGACATATTTTTTCTTTTTTTTATTATTTTATTATCCAAAAAACTAGATTGTTTGAAAGATACGTTTGAACAAAAAAAAAAAAAAATGGATTTCTCTCTCTCCTTTTTTTTCGTGTAAAGTATCAAACGAAGTTGAAGAGAAAAATAAGAAGAAAAAAATTTATTGGAGATAGTAAATGTTTCCAAATGTTACTTATAGCCGCCATTTTATATCAGCAACGGAAAAAATGCTCGATAAAAAATGATTCGAGCCTTTAATCGCATTCTAATAAGATTATTTGTATAAACTTCAATAATACAACTTCGTATCGATTTTTTTTTTTTTTTTTTTTTTTTCACTTTTATCTGTCATTCAACAACAACGTTAAATTCATTTTGAAATTTTTCGAGAAAAATATTCTTTCTTTTTTTTTTTCTTTTTTTTTTTCCCCCTCTACCAGGAATACTTCAATTACGAAATTGATTCGGACGAGGAATGGGAGGAAGAGGAACCAGGTGAATCGTTGCACGGTTCGGACGATGAAAAAGACGAAGAGAATCCGGAGGACAACGAATACGATGTGGATAACGATTTCATGGTACCTCACGGGTAAGTTAATTTTTATAACGTTTAAATATTTTTTTTTTCTTTCCCTTTCTTTTAATTTTTTTTTTCTCTCTTTTTTTCTCTCTCTCTCTCTCTCTCTTCTTTTAAGGTACTTATCCGATGAAGAGCTTCGCGCCGACGAAGAAGATAAGGAAGACATGGTAAATATTTTATATAAAATAAATAGTACGATCGAATGTTAAAAAAAAGAATTAAAAGTGGATATTTATTGATCTAATAATTTTTTAATTTTTTATAGTCCCCTGAAACGCAAAAAGTTAGATTGAAATTACTTGGAGAGCAATTCGAGTCGGAAAGGAATACGAAGACTTCGAAATTGAAGCCAAAAATAATTGGTATAATTTGGAGAGGGCCCGACAACAATTTTCCACCAAACGGTGAGTATAGATTTATTTATTTTAAATTGGCTAACTACAGTAAAAAGAAAGCAAAAAAGCATTCTATTCTACGTTTTGTATTTCAGTACCAGCAAAGATTGCAGACTTCTTGGCAGCACGTGAGGCTTGGGTCCGTCAAATACCGGTAATTGTCTCGATTAAAATTGTCTCATCATATTTATAATGAATTGTTACTCGAATAAAATTATTATTATTATTTCATTTTATTCACATAAATAATTATATTATTATTTGTTTTTGTTGTAAAAAAGAGGATGCTTTGAAATGAAAGAAATGAGAAGACTTATTGCACAGTTACATATATATGCTTACTAATTTATCAATTACAAGTAGTTAGATGAAATGTTCTTTATAGCGAGAATTTTATTTTCTTTTTTTACTTTTACTCTGAAAAGTTTTAATCGCACATTTTAATCACATTTTAATCGCTCACACCTTCCTGTAGATACACATTTACCTATCAGATTCATTTTCACGCCAGAGATTACCACATATACATGTTAATAATTTATTCAAATTAAAAGTGTTCAGCTCTGCTGTCAACGCCAACCACGTCTGAGAACGAGACAGCTAACGAGCGCACTTCGCCTTCGCCTACGCAGCAACAAGCGCCATCCAGTTCGAAGAAAACACGAGTTCCGGAAGCGGCTATTCCGGACCTGATTCGACTTGTACACGGGAACGTGCATGGTAGAGGATTCCTCGTAAAAGAGTTCATGACCTATTGGAGCAAGAGGGACGATTCAAATGATAATTACATCTCGAAGGCAAGTTTATTGCAAAAAATTCGTGACATTGGAAAATGGATGCCGTGCCCAGAGGAGGGGCCGATGCATTCGAAGGCTTGTTGGTACGTTCACGAGGAGATCAGGAAGAAATACGTTAACGAGGAGCTATCATTGCCAAATCAATGGTTGTACAGTCTGATTCCGAAGAAGAAGAGGAACGATAACTCGCAAGTCGTTGAGAAAGTAGAGAAAGAGGATAAGGATAAAGAGAGGAAGAACGTACCTTTGATTACTCAGTTCACTAAAAAAATCACCCAGGAGGAGATGAAGAAACAATTAACTGTTAAACCTAATTGTACTATTACTAGTAGTTCACAAACTAGTTTGCAAAGTAAATCTACGAGTAAGCCTCCTAAAAGGGCGAGATTAATTTCTGTTAAAAGAGGCGAAGAGTTGCCTAAAATGTCGAGGGAGAATTTGCTGAAAGATTTCGTCAATATGAAAGGTGACGATAAAAGTACGACCGAGAACAATGATTCGGATGATGTGATTGTATTGTGCGCCAAGAACAATGAAAATAATGATTATCAAAAGGGGAAAGGAGACGTGTCGGATGATAAGAAGGAGAGCGAAGATAGACTTGTTGCTGGTCATACAGAGTCTGAAGGGAAGAAAAACGATGAAGAAGAATCATCAAATGATGATGACAATAAAAGTATTATAACGTTGAAATCTGAGAATTCGGCAGAGAATGATGTATCAAATGATAAGAATGTGAGCAAAACTGTAGATACTCCTATGAACATCGACAGCGATTAAAGTAAAATATTAATAACTTGTGAAAAAAAAATTACAACAGATTCGAATATTTTACGTAGAAAAAAACAACTTCAAAAATGTGATAAAGACACAACTGTAGTTATATAGATTTAAAAAAGAAATAATAAATTTGACGGAATAACTTCTGTCGCAATATATTCATGGAATAAATCGTATTTTTGATATTATTTTGTGTTAGAATTTTTACTGATGCGTTCATGTTTTGCATTATCGATCATGCATATTCGGAAGGAAGGATTCAGAAAGAGAATCAATATAAATTACATTTTCACAGCATGGCTTAAAATCAATGGCTTTAAATTTAAATTTTCAATCGATAAATCAATTAAATAATTACTTCAATATTTAATATAGGCTTAATTGATTTGCTATTTGAAAATATAAACAAATTTTTAAACTACATAAATCATATTCAGAAAATATTACTTGGCTTTGGAATCCTCTATTTATATTCTTCACATTTTGCTACGTATAATATACAATATACTACATGTTTAATCGTATATATATATATATATATATATATATATATATATGCAAATGTGTACAAAATGCCGAACTGTTTTATATTTCTATCTTACATATACGCACGATACAATTGTTATATTGTTATTATAAGAGTATTATAAATATTCTAGTTATCATTAAGAAACGATATAAACAATGTTTAACTTTGATCTAACATTAAATATTATTATTAGAATAGAGAACAAGTTTTCGATTATTAATTGTTATTGTTTAAGAACAATTTTATATCGTGTTATATGAAACAGGATAATTTTTAATACGCAATATATTATTATATTTTATTAATGGCTCTTGATGGTTATAGGTAATTATCATGAACGCTTTTGACTACTACGTATATTGCAAGATAAATGTAGAATGGAAGAAATGAAATGATTCAGATTGCGCGTAGATAAGTTGCTTTTTTAAAAATCTATATTTTCTATAATATCGTAGAGATGATAGATTAAACTTAAACTAAGAAATGTTGTATGTTACATCTATTGTGCCACATTTTCAATTTCATTTTCATATTGCTCAAAAATGTTGCAACAACAATGGAATATATTTTTTAATATCGATAATTTTTACTCATAATTTATATAAATAATATTTGATATATCGATACTTTTATATCGTGAAATATGATATTGAATATCAATAATATGAATAAGAGTTTAAAAAGAAACACGTCGAAACACAAGTGAAATACTTAAATTTAGAAAACTGCGAGTAACAATTGAGTCTCGATAGAAAAAATCTTTTCTACTGAACCCCATATTTTAATCGATCGATATTCGTTCTAATACGAGAAAAAAAAAAAAATTTATATCTATATATTTTTATATGTATCTGTTCAATACTTAACAACTTGCATGATCGATATATTTTTTAAAAACAAACAGAATCGATGATGCGATAAAAAACGATAGCAAGGATATTATTTTTAGACAAGCTTTACTAATAACATTTAACTAAAAACATGTCGTTGAGAAACCATCGAAATTCGATATCGAAATTGCAATATATTTTATGTAATATAATATGTTTCTTTTCGCATGATCAAGAAGCAAGAAATGCGATTTGCACGCAGCATCTATATTTTATAAAAAAAAAAGAAAAAGAATGAAATAGAATGAAATAAGAAAGGAGAAAAAAAACAACAAATTTATTATAATTATATATTTTTGTAATAACAGATAATACGCAAATCAAAAGAGAGATGAATTTCTTCGTTAAATATTCCTTTATCGATACATATTTACCTTTCCTGTGCAACTATTAATTACTTAACCTCAAAACAATCAATTTCGATTTCAAAACGATCCCATTATTCACGAAACAATGGAAAAATCGACTTTATTCGCAAGATTCCTTCGTTTTTTTTTTCCCTTTTTCTTTCTTTCTTTCTTTCTTTCTTTTTTTTTTTTCCAAAACCACTATCGTTCTCATAGGATGCGTTCTCATAGCGAAAAGGGTAGATGGGAATAATCTGTTCCAGTAATGTGAATTATCCAGAGGATTCCACCGCTAAAAACTTTCGTAGCGAGCAGTAACGTTTGAATTACTCGGGTTAATGCATCGAGAGTCGGGTTTGCGGAACGTGGAATTGCATTCCGTCGAAGCGTGCACCGGAGTTTAAATAAAATAGCTGTAGTGAAAAGTTTGTGCACAGCATCCTATTATTGGCGGTCGACCGGAAGCGCGTGTCTTATTGGAACGGAAACGAAACGAGCGGTGGATATCGATGATGAAATCGTTTCCCTTCGATTCCAATCCGGAAGATTTCGTGCGCGTTATTTTTCTCTTGAATATAAATTTCCAAAACGAATTAAAAATAACGAATTATAAATTTTTATAATTCCATATCGAAAAGATGGATTGTCAAAAATATTTATCCAATTGTATTTAAAAGCATAAAAATCTCGTGGAAACGACGATCAAACAACTTGATAAATTTACACGTATGTTTCAATCGATGAAATAATAAATAAAAAAAAAAAAAGAAAATTCGGCACATCGGTCAATCAAAAAAAACTTGACGTTCGAAATTGAATATAATCCAACTCGTGACAATGTTCCTCTTGCATTTAAATTTTGAAAAAAACATTGATACCTGATAGAATGAGGGGAAAAAAGCGAAGAATTTTTTTTATTCGTATTTTTTTTTTTTTTTTTTTTTTTAGAAACTCGATATTAGTTTTGATCGTACGTGGCCTTAAAATCGTAACAATTTTTCGCGAAATTGTTATATCTCTGTGAAACGAGTCGTGAAATTGGAAAACGATGTTGTTCGTTCCTTTCGATCTTACAATTAATGTAAAATTAATTGTAAAAATGTAACTTTGTAATAATACAATTTTTGTGCCAATTTCTTCTGCGTCTTTACATAATTTGAATTATCCTGCAACATTCCTATCTTCACTACGAATAATTCTTCTAGAATAAAGATACGTTTGATTGATATAAAATTCTCGATATTTTCCACAATACTTCAGAATGATTGTTTCTTCTCTATCTTGGAAAATAATCTTGGAAAAAATTCTAATCGATTCAACAAATATCACAGACACAACTTGTCTGAACTCTATCTTTTTCAAATTATTCTTGAGAGAGGTTGAAACTTAATTCCTTAATTTCAGATTCGATAATTGCCTTCTCCTTATTCCGGCCATATGCCATTTGGCTCGAAGCTAAGTCTAGTCTTTGCTTCATTTTTTCTTTTCGTCATGGATCCGGAAGCTTGGAGAACGCGCCATCCATCCGCAGATTTCATCGCCTCGAAGATTGGAGATTGGAAAACGTAAGAGCCGTGAAAAGAAATGTGTGAATTTTTTTTTCTTATTATTCTCTTTCTTTTGATCTCTCAAAATTAAGTCGGTATCGGTTACTTTTAATTCATACTTTGCGCTCGAGATTTAATGATGTATAATACAATGTTTCTTGCGAAACTCGGAGAATCTTTGAGGTTCGAACGAAAACGGACATTTTTAAAGATTAAGGAACGATAAAACATAAGCGTTAACAAAATATCGATTAAAACTTTATTTATTAAAAGCAATTAAAATTTTTCAAGATAAATGAAACGAGATATATTTTATAATATAAAGTCAAAAAGAAAAAAGAAAAGAAAAAATTGGACACTCTTCTCGATTCGAAGGATAATCTCTCTGATCTCGTCTCCAAGCACGATAATTAAACCCAAAACTCACCCCCCACCCGATATTCCGATATTCCGAAAAACCGAGCCATTCCACCTGTCCACCCAAAAAATCAATAATCCCGCCCCCGGCCACCTCCTCAGACCGTCGTCCTCCCCCACCCCCTCCTCCTCCTCCTCGCGATCTCTCCTGGATCCCCCCGTCCTGGAGGAAGAACTCTCCCCTTGGAACGAGGCGAACGTCCGTCCAATTCCGCCGTCCGATTCTTCGAAAGTCTACGCCGGTCTGTTCCGCGTAGTCGTCGAGATGTCGCCTCGGAGCCAATCAGAGTTAACCCTCCTCCGGTGGGGTCCGGCCCGTGGTGTCTCCTGGATATTAATGAGAGAGGATAGAGAGAGAGAGAGAGAGAGAGAGAGGCGGCCGAGGCCACGGATCACTCTCCTCTCCTCTCCTCTCCTGGACCCAGAGGGGGGAGAGCGCAGGAAGGTGGAAGTGGGAGAGGAGAGGAGAGAGGAGAGGAGGGGGAGGCAGAGAGCGAAGGCCTGTGCCGCGCGGCGGGAGAGAGAGAGATAGAGGGGAGGGGGAGGGTGTCTCCACCCTGGGGAGGGGGGAGGACGTCGTCGGGTCACGAGAAGCCTTTGGAGGGAAAGGACGGAGACGGAAGGCCGGCGGCGTGACCGATAGAAAGAGAGGGACCGATCCTCTCCTCTCCCTTCCCTTCCCTTCCCTTCCCTTCTGTGCGCGCGTGTGTATATGTGTGACGCTGCAGCGACGCCGACAAGAGGTGGAGGATGAGAGAATGTCGAGGAGGAGCAGGAGGAGGAGGAGGAGGAGGAGGGGGGGGAGAGGTGGACCAGGAGGAGACGGAGCTTGAGAGGCTGCGGAGGAGGGGGGGGGAGAGAGAGAGGATCGTGGCGGAGGCCACGTAGGAGACGTTCAATACTGTAGCAACCGAGCCAACGCCATTGGCTACCATTCTCTCTCTCTATACCTTCTAGGCATACACCTTGTACTCTATTCCGGTCTACTCCACTTTATTCCCGCTGCCGTTCAAGCTGCTACTTGCTTCCACTCCCTCCGACCCTTCCCACAACGGGGGGTCCACAACGCGAAGGTATACGCGGGACGATGGTTCCAGCTATATAGTATAGTCCACGAGCGTAGGAGAGTGTGTTTTCATTGTGGACGGCCTGAGAGAAGAGAAAATTGGTTCCATCCAATTGAACTGATTCGATGGAGACGATGCAAAGTCGCTCACCTGAGAGAAGATCAAAGATCGGATCACAAGGGAAGGAAGAAGCGTCGAAGGAGAGCCTATCTACCTTCCTCTCTCGAGGGCGGGACGCGGTGGTTCTCGAGAGCTGGCAATCGTCCAGCCGAGTGCACCGAAGTCGTTGTTTCGTGCCGATTGCTTGGCCGATCAACGTTGCTGTGTTGCCGCGCTTACGCGAGCCACGCGTCCGTTCGTCGGGACGTGACGGCTTTCGGCCTAGCCATAC